TCCCTTCAGTCTTCTGGTAAGATGCTTTCTTTTGCTGACTAAATAAAAGACACTGTTTTAAACATACTGGGTTTTTTAAAGGTACTGTTTTTCTTTCTGACATCATACAACACATCATACATTTCAGCTCTCTAAAAAACTACCTTAACAGCACTAGTGTAAGAAAAGGACACTGAACTGGGCTTTTGGGGTTTTTTGCTTGTTTTTGCACTTCTTGCAATGCCATGTCTGTTTACAGGTGAATCTACTTTCTATGCTGAATCTATTGCAGGTAACAATTAATTTTCCCTGTGAACTTAATCGGCTTTGACTACAAAATGGCACCCGTAAACATTAGCTTTTTTTTTTTTAAGCTGGTTTTACGTAATTTTTCCCTTTGAAACAATGCATTTCCCAGAAGTTCTCTCCTCCCTCCCCAGGCTGTGATGTAATCTCTAGACAACAGTGTGAAAATAGGAAAAGTCCAATTTTAACACCAGGATGTCATCTTTTCCCTAGGCTGGGCATCCGTCCTACCACCAACCGGCCGTCGGACTTGTTCTCTGCACACAGAGCAGGTTGCACGGAAGCGTTGAGACTCAAATTTTGCAGCAAAAAAAAAAAAAAAAAAAAAGGCACTTTACCGCAGAACCAACGTTAATTCTCCTTCTGCTCCCGTTCATTAAATTAACGTCGGGGTGTAGCGAAGTTCAAACTGCGCACACAGTGCGGATGCTGCTTCAGAGGGATGCTGGTGTCCTGCTGCCGGGGGACGAGCATTTCTCTGTTTGCAAACCCTGTGATAAACCAGATCCCAAAGCTTTCCTGCACGCCTGAACTCACCCTTTGTTGAACCAAAGACTCTGAAAACAGCAGCTGCCTTCGCAGCTCTGCGTTTTCTTCCAGGAACGCTTCACCGAATAAAAACCGAACCTGGGACAACACTTGCTTTGGGTTTTGTTTCTCCTTTTGCATCTATCTACGGTTTCACACGGTTTGGGTTTTTTGCTTTGTTTTGGTTTTTTGCTTTGTTTTCTTTTGTTTCTTTGTTTTGGTTTTTTGCTTTATTTTGGGTTTTTGTTTTGGGGGTTTGTTTTTTTTTTTTTCCATACTGCTCTGCCCGGCCCCACACACGCTTTATCTTTCAGGGGAGCAGCAGCCCCGCACTGCCCGTGCCTGGCACACACACAGTGTGTGTACATTTTTAATTAATTTTTATTTTTTTCCAAGCCCAACCGCTTTGAGGCTTTTTCCCTTCCCAGGGCCGCAGGCGGCTCGGCTGGGGCTCCTGCCCAGGACAGGGCCCGGTCGGGG